TATAAAGGTATGCATACATGTATGCATATATATATATATATTTAATGTGAAACCCTGAACTCCAAGCCCAGAGAAGTAGCGACATTTATAAATGCTTCAAAGACAACCAGGGCTGAGAAAAATATAATTAACTAACTGTTCTAATCCTCGCAGCAAATGCCACTCTAACCCCCAGGCCCCAAGCCCTCAACCCTTAGCCCTGAAACCGTAAACCCCCTTCGGCTTCCCGGACGGAAGCTTGAACCCGCGAAAAAACCCTTCAAGGAAAAGGCCAAACATGAGATCTTAGTCGAGGTCGTAAGTTTAGGGTTTTGGGGATGTTTCGTTTGTTTTTGTCCGCACTGGTTTGCTTGGTTGGAATGTGGGGATGTTTAGGGTGTAGGGTTTGGAGTTTCAGGGTTAAGGGTTGGAGGATTGGACGATTTGGGGTTTTGGTTTTATGCGGCGGCGTGCTTTATACTGTTTCATCCCTGCAGGAGGTCTGCTATGATTCATGCCTTTGACAGCTTCCAGCCGTAAACCCTAAACCCCACACCCCTAAGCCTTAAACCCCAAACTCCAAGCCCAGTGACATTTATAAGCACTTCAAAGACAGCCAGGGTTACACCCAAGTAGAACCAACAGAAGAATCTAATTAACTAAATGTACGAATCCTCGCATAAACTACTAATTTTTGGGGCATTTTTGGGGCCGTAGCGATGTGAAACATGCTTCGGGGCATGATCGTTCGAGGAGCTTGAGGAATACCATTAGGAAGCCCTCCGATCCCCATCGTTGAAGACCTTTGAAGAGTTGCACAAAGTCACTGACACGAACAAGCCCCATAAGCTCGTTTCAGAACTTTTTTTTTAACAATAGCGAAAGCCTACAACGCCCTTTCAGCCGCCAAACGCTGAAGCGGCTGTTTTGCTTAGTGGTGCGCCCGGCTTAACGAATTCGTTAGATGGCTGATAAAACCAATGAAGGCTAAGTGTAGCAATGACATTGCGACTGCCGCACAGCAGGCCTGACTCAACATGAGCCCTTTGACAGCCAATGCCCGAGCGACACGGGTCGGCTGTTTTGCTTAGTGGTGCGTGTGGCTAATTAAGGCAGGAGAGGAACCCGTGTCAAATAGCATTCATGTCGTCCGACCACTTCCGAAATGGCACTTTCCTTATTGTCCCACAACTGAGCCACACTGGAACGACAGAGAGGTTCTTTTGCATCCTATACGTTGTAGCGCTTGCCCACGTTTGAGCCAAGCAGCCGAAGCATGTGATGTTCAGGGCTTTTGGAGTGTTGCGGGTGATACTGCTACTAGGTTGCTAGGTGTTTACATGAGCATTCGTCAAAACTTCTTTCATGGCCAGACCATGGATGATTTTTTTGTCCTATCGCTTTACAAAGATTTCGTTCAATGTTTCTGTGAGGTATCGCTTTGCTCTTGTGAAAGTAAGAAGACCATCAGACTCACTGATCCTTCTCGTAGCTTGCCCTGCCCTTTACCGCCCTTTGCTGCCATTTCTTGCTCTTTACTGCCGTTTACTGCCCTTTCCTGCCCTTTCCTGCCCTTTTACTGCCCTTTTCAGTCCTTTACTGCTCTTTGCCTGCCCTGTACTGCCCTTTTTCCATCAGAATGGGCAGTGGGTCACGAAACGCACTAGTAGGTATCGATAAGGGTATCGATTGGGCATCGATTAGGGTATCGATTGCCTAGCCACATATCATACGGAAATTAAGGCATACATGCCGCGGCAGCACTGGCCTTTTCACAACAAATGATCTTTGCTAATGGTATCGCTTTTGGGGGGTCCAATCGCTTTCCAAGGATATTGGTAAAATCCGACCTCCCACGGTCACCCTACTCTTAACTACAATTACGGAAGTTTTGACGGCTGCTCACATGAGGTGTCTAGCCAAGCGTTGCCCGCAACAAAGGGTAAATTGCCTTCTTTTTTCCCCCAAGACTTTTCCGCCTGCGAGAAAGTGCCGCAGCTACCTCGCTCCTACGACAAACCGCTCTTCTGGGTTCTGTATATATCGTTTGTTTCACTTTGTAGATACTGACCGCAAGACGGTTGTTTCAGGACTCATGCTGCTCTGGTTAAACCTACGCAAACAATCTAAGTTTGCGGCCTCAGTCATGCCTCCTCCCAAACAACTGCACGAGATTTTAAAAAATGCAGTTCGTTGGACGCCCTCTGTGCCCCAAAGTTGGTTCTCTGAACTACATGCTACTGTTCGTAATGCAACGCGCGTCGCTCTGCGATTCGGAATTGCGATTTCCTTGCCCATCTAACCCCGACACGTTGGCGGTTGCGCCGTCACAACTTTTTTTGTTGATGATCCGGAAGGAAGATCTCAGCAAGATGCTGTAGAAGAGTGGAAGCACAAACTCAAGTAGTGCGGTGGAGGTTCCAAGCGCCACGTATTCAGGTGGCTCCGTGGTATCCCCAAAATTTTTCCAAGGATGTCACAACAATCGTCACTCGACCGTCACACGATCGTTCTTAGAGTCAGTCATAGTTTCGAGTGTCGTGGTTGTTGCTCGTTCGGGCCGTCCTGCTTTGGCCGACGGTGTTTGCTTGACCAAGTTCAACGAAGCACGGCGAATGATTCGGTAGACTTGACTGCCGCAGCACTCCGGACTTCGAAGAACGGGACCAAATGCTTGTCCCAGATGGCATAATCAATCTGCGATTTGCTTCTTTCATCGGATTCAATCGTGTTCGACTTCGCAAACGTAAACTCTGAAAAAAATGAGACTCTATTTGTTCACCTATCAATGATTGCTGATCCGCGTGAACATCGAGCCACTCGTCGGTGGTGAATGCTGATACTATAGCTGCGATCGTATTGGGGGGACTGGCATCACATAACAGGTACTTGTCCTAACGATGCAGCATGCGAGAAATTGCATCCATAATGTCATTTCATGTCATTTCGTTCACGCACAGCCAAGTTGTCAGTACGCGAATAGATGTTGATAAGAAAACACTTGTCTGCTGAAATGGAAAATACAACACTTGACAATTATCACGGATGGACTCAAAGAACCCTTGGAAACGTACCAGAAATCCGCTGAGCAAGAGGCTGAGGGCCTAAGATCAATTCCCATCCACACGCATCAAACGTGCGTGTGAGAACAGTTGTGAGAACCGCATGCTTGCGCTCGGGTATTCTTCTTTCTTGCATGCATACGCAATGCACGTGATCGAGATCAAGATTTTGGCGATTTTGGTGGAATGCTTCCGAAGCAATGGTTACAGGCCCTTCCCCTTTGAAACCCTTTGCGACTGCTTGGGTTCCTGAATCGTCACGGAATCCGCAGTTCAGTTGCTGCCTGATGTCGGTCGGCTCTGTTTGAATGGCCTTGATGTTGCTATTTGCCTCTCCAATCTGCTTCTCAAGCATCTCGACTCTTGCTTGCAACTCTGAACACCATGGTGGTGGTGGAGGCAGCGAGGGACCGCTTCGCTGCCTCGATGAACGGACAGCCGTTGATGCGGGCTACTGCTGATGCTCTTGGTGCTCGTCGCAGCTTAGCAGCGCGTGTCTTCAACTTTGCTTTGCAGCAACCGGGTTCTTGGACACATAGTGTTTCGCAAACGATGCGGGATTCTGGCATTCCGCTTCCTCGTTCTTGCGGCCTGTTGCCTGGCGCGGGTGCAAGGCAGGTTGCGCACTGGAGTCGGCATGCTGTGCGACCGGTGTTGCTGCAACGTGCTCATGCACAGTATCGTGGGGAATTGATGGCATTGCCGTCCCTTGCGGAATATGCCGTCTATCAGCCGCTTTTGCACAGTGGCAACAACATTCATTTCTCACGACTCCCGTCGCCTCTGCTTCGGGAGTGGACGTTAGCACGTTGTGGCCATCACCCCTTTCAGGATGGCAGAATTGCCCGGCACGTTCAAAGGGATGCTTCCGTCTGCCTTTGTGGTGCTCCCACTTGTACTCTGCTGCATGCCATTCGCGAGTGTCCGCTGTTTGATACTCAGTGCCACACTTGGGTGGAGCGCTTAAGCTTGCGACGAGTGCCTCAGTTCGGTGATGCTGAGCTGCTGCGGTGGATTTTCGATCCTCACCTCGTGCCGAACAATCACGCTGCTGTCAATGCTTCTGTACACTATGTGGCATCCATCTGTCAGATCGCGAGATCCTTGCGTGAAGGCTTGCAGATGCGATAGCCTTGATCTCTATCTTGAAGCGATTGATCTTACTCGTAACACTCATCTTTCTCTAGTAGTGGGTTTCGCCAGTCAATGCACCTGGCGCTCTTTTCTTGTGTACATACTGACCGTAAACGGTTGTTCAAGGACCGAACCTCCTCGGGATCTGCACGTTTTTGAGAGGTAGCCCTCCGTGAGATTTGTCCTATGCAAGATCGTCCTGTTGCGTATGCCTTTGGCAACGATCAAGGCGTCCACATACGAGTCAAGGCCTCTCGTGTTCCGAAGGCTTGCCAATCGCCTGCTGCATCGGATTGGCGAAGCTCTACCAGTACGATCAGCTTTGGGTCTTTGGCGAGGCCACTGGCTACATCTCACTATGTGTACGGCAAATCCATTCAATCTCATGAGAACTCAGGTTCATGAGGGTGACTGCACGAGATTCGTCTCTCTGGGCTGTTGAATCCCGCAGCGTGATGACATTCCATCTCGAAGCATCTTGTGGAGAACGCCGTCTTTGGAATCCATGAACATTCGATCAAAGATAAAAGGCGTTTTTTTCGTGGCATGGTCCTTGCGAAAATGACGTCGTATGCTTCTTTTCGCATGCAGGATGTTTGAGAGCTGTCCTGGTTATGATTATGCTTGCTTGTGATTCGACATGCCGCACAAGAATGCGTATGGTTGGCTCTTCAGCCGAGTCATTCGTGGCTCAACTTTTAATTCCTTCCCTCTCTTTCCTGCTCGTGCCGGCGCAATTTGACACAGGTGGGCTGGAGCTTGACCATGACTTGAAGTGGATACGAAACCGTGTGTGCCAAGACTATGTAGATGTCGCGAGGCATCATGGGCTGCTCTTCTAGTGTCAGTGTGATGCACGACGAAGCGGAAGACACCCGCGTCACTCGCGTCATATACACGGACCGGACAAGTCCATTTTCCAGATCTTCCTAAGGCCATTCACAGTAGCTACACTAGTCCAATGGCATGGAAACACACGCAGGACCGCACTGGACAAGAGTTCGTCCAGCATTCCGCTCCATTCAAGGACTGGGCACGGTCTGGGTCGAACCTTCAGGTGGCTTCCACCTTCCCACGTTGACCCAGGAGGGCGTTCGACGCTTCAATTCCATGCGCATCAGCGACGAAGATGCTTCTGGAATAGTCGTCCCGCTTGCAAGTACCCACAACAAGCATGTGAAGCAGCAGCTTGCATGCAGCTTGTGCAACATCGGCGACTTGTTCCAGTCGGAAGCACAAGGGCAAGGGGTGGGTTCAGTTGCCCCAAAGTTCGCACAGAGCGACAGGCAGGCTGGTCAGTCTCAAAGTCGACATGCTGAAGAGAAGACATGGGTTGTGGAGTGCTTAGGGCACACCAAGGCTCAACAAGTTCTTGGCGGCCATAGAGCAGAACCCGAGATTGCTGGAGAAGAGCATGCTGCCCAGCCAACTTCCGAAGAACCGCAACAAGGCGGTCCTGAAAGTTGACCAGGACCTAGCGCTGCTTGTCGTAGTGACTTGTAGTTGCGCTTGAGCCTTCGGCGATCAGGAGGTCTCTGAGCAGAGCCTGGCGGATGTCAGCACAGATGTGTCCAACTTTGCCTCGAGCCCTGGCAGCTTTGCATAGAGGAGGCATCCTTGCATCATGTTGCATCCATGCAGCGCAGATGCATTTTTGCAGACGGGAGGCGCGAGTGTTCATGCTCCTTGCCGCCGCTTCGGATGCGGAAACTCGAGCCATGGTCCAAGTCATCGGTGTGGCATGGAAACAGCATATCGCCCCGCTGTTTCGGACTGTTGTGGCAGAGTGGGAGCACCTGCCACTTGATCTATGTGCGCTTGCTGATCGTGCTGTCAGAAGATGTTGTTACACATGAATCAGCAGATATCGAGCTAACAGTCTTTGTGCGCCACAGATCTTTGACCGCGCAGCCCCAACGTGTCTGCAAGGGTCAAGCCAGTCCTTTCTCAGTTGCGGCCGAGCTGTGGCTCTTTCGGTTCGGCCTTGCGATCTCAATGCTCCATCCTTGCATTGAGCAATCTTCGCACGATTTGCAGTTCGGCATTGAATTATGTTGCGGGATTTGAGTTGATGCCTCGAGACTTCTTCCAGCCTATAGTCAGTATATGTCAGTATAATGTCTTGCAAAGTTTTCTTTGCCGTACATCACCCTCGGGGTGTTCGAAGTATTTGACTGCCCTCAGAGCTCTCCTGCAGTAGTCGTTGCCGTGGTGGTTACGTACGGTGTATCTCTAGCAGCAACAGCACGACGAGTTGTTGTTGTCTTGTAACAGAAGTAAGGCACGTGGTAGTCGTCGTCGTCGGCGTAGCAGTCGTAGTTGTAGTCGCAGTCGTAGTGATAGTGGTACCTGGTGGTAGTAGTAGTAGTAATAGAAGAAGAAGAAGTAGTAGTAGTAGTAGTAGCAGTAGTAGCAGTAGTAGTAGTAGTAGTAGTAGTAGTAGCAGCAGCAGTCGTAGTACGCTTAGAGGAGGAGTACACCTAGGAGTAAGAGGAGTAGTAGGCGTAGCACATAACAGCATCACGAGCAGGTGCAGGAGCGGGCGCAGGCATAGGCGTAAACTCGCAGGTGAGGCTTCCTAAGATCAGGCTTTGGCTGTCAGAAGGAGCATCCAGGTCATCCAGTTAGTGCGTGAAAGCTCTGATGGGACGAGCCTGCAGATGAGATTCCACCCAGGGCGGTGTCCGCTCATGCAACAGCCGCAACTGTTACAACAATCTACAAGTGATCTTTACCAAAAGGACAGTTTGTGAGGGCCCAGACGTGATGGCTTACGTATGTGCGATCCCCCGAAGGTTCGTCGGCTAAGATGTGTTGATGCTGATGCAACAAGAAGATTTTCATGGTCTTACAGCAATCATACTCCGCGTCAGGGTTCTGCCGAAACGAATTGTGGTGGTAGTTTATGAGGCAAGAGCTTGGCGAACGTACATGGGTCCCTGGGACCCTTGTATCTTATGGCTTGCTATAAACAAGGCAGTCTTTGCACATGTATGTTTATGTATATTTCACTGAATGAGCGGAGGCCTTCCAGGTTGGTGGTTTTTGGACGCCGCATCTTGTGCCAGCGATTTCTCGACACTGCACAAGTTGCGCTCCCATTCTGATGCTTGACTGCTGGGCCATAGACAAGATGCATCCCGCAGCCAACGTCAAGATCCCCACTTTGCTTTGAATTGCTTTGTCCTGTCACATTGGCAAGCACGGACTTGCCGCAAGCTTTCCAACTTTTCTTGAACCCTTAGCCTTAACTTTTAAGTTTCAGCGGGCGGGCTCACATGAGACCCATGAGACCCGACTTCAGTTTTAGCGCGGTGGCAGAGCCCAAGTTGATGGTTTTATGGTGGCGAAGATGACGCCGATCATACTGAATCACGCAACTACTTGTGGAGCGGGCGAGCCAAACAGTGCAGCAATCGGAAAGAGCAAGTGCTCGAAAGTTGGCAGTCTCCACCACATTCCACAGCAAGAGCACTTATGAATTGGCCTGGCGGCTAGGACACCTAAGTGGCTTGTGCAGCAAGGTTTAGTACGTTCCATGGGCCACAAACAATTTCAGTGTCATGCAGAGTGCAATCATGACTTGGCTACTTGGGCACTCTGGTTTCTTTGCTGCGCACTTGCAGAATCTACTGCCGCATTTTGGCATCCATTCCTCAAGCGATTGTTAATAGTCTGCAAGACAAATTAATTCCGCATCAGCTGCAATGATTGCGAACTTCTAGTTGACGCTATGCTGCAGTTGTCAGGTATGGTGAAGATTGTCATATGCCCTGGAAACCATAGCCGTGTAGTCGATTTCCTGAGCCCTGAAGGGGCAGCCTTCGGGCATTTAGTTTTGACTTGACTTGACTTGATGCACCGACGGCTGTCCACGCTGTGAACAAAAACCACAGTCAAGTGCAGCGCCAGAACTGCGAGAGCACGTTGGGGCATCACATCCGAGCTCATGCTGTCAAGGGCCAGGCTTTTGGGCCATTGGCAGTGGGTGTTGTGAGAAGAAATTTTTCGATGGACAATCCCTTGCCGCCCCTGCACATGCCCAGAATGGAAAGTGCAACTGCATTGCCAGCATTGCCTCGATCTTCTAGGTGCTAGCTTCGTTGCCAATACGACAATGATGAGGACGACGACAATCATCACACTTACCACATTAGTCGCAGTAGTAGTCGTAGTCGTAGTGGCAGTAGTGCTGCTAGAGGAGGAGGAGGAGGAGGAGGAGGAGGAGTAGTAGTAGTAGTAGTTTAAGCACCCGAGCCCTCAATTTCTCATGTCTTTCTCATGTCGTTGGCTTTCGGTTCTTTTTGACAACCTCTTATTGACGACCACGACGATGACTACGACTTCTACTACGGCAAACTACTACTACAGCTACTGCTACTGCTGTCTCTGCTGCTGCTAGTCGTCACTAGTCGTCACCACCACCACCACCACCACCACCACCACCACCACCACCAGCAGCAGCAGCAGCAGCAGCAGCACCACCACCACCACCATGACTGCTTCCTCCACCATTTCTACGATGACTACGTCTACGACTACGTCTAAGTCTACGGCTGCAAGGACGACGACGACGGAGCCTTGCATTTATGTTGTTTGGGAGCTGTCCTGGTTATGATTATGATGGTGTGTGATTCGACGTGCCACACAAGATTGCATTGGTCGGCTCTTGTGCAGAGTCATTGTGGCTCAACTTTCCTACTATTCGCGTTTCCCTCTCTTTCCTGCTGCTGCCCGCGCAACTTGACACAGGTGGGCTGCAACTTGACCATGGCTTGAAGTGGATACGAAACGTGTGCGCCAAGACTACGTAGATGTCGCGAGGCATCATGGGCTGCTCTTCTAGTGTCAGTGTGATGCACGACGAAGTGGAACACACCGGCATCACTCGCGTCATATACACGGACCGGGCAAGTCCGTTTTCCAGAGCGGCAAAGCGCTTCCTAATGTTCAATGCCATGGAAACTCCCGCAGGACCGCACTGGACAAGAGTTCGTCCAGCATTCCGCTCCATTCAAGGACTGGGCACGGTCTGGGTCGAACCTTGCAGTGGCTTCCACCTTCTCGCTTCGGCCCAGGAGGGTGTTCGACGCTTCCATTCCATGCGCATCAGTGACGCAGATGCTTCTGGAATAATCGTCCCGCTTGCAAGTACCCACAACAAGCATGTGAAGCAGCAGCTTGCATGCAGCTTGTGCAACATCGGCGAGTTATCGGAGTCGGAAGGACAAGGGCAAGGGGTGGGTTCAGCTGCTCCAAAGCTCGATGCTGGTGAGTCTCAGAGTCGATATGCTGAAGAGAAGACAGGGGTTGTGGAGTGCTTAGGGCACACCGAGGCTCAACAAGTTCTTGGCGGCCATAGAGCAGAACCCGAGATTGCTGGAGAAGAGGATGCTGCCAAGCCAACTTCCGAAGAACCGCAACAAGGCGGTCCTGAAAGTTGACCAGGACCTAGCGCTGCTTATCGTAGTGACTTGTAGTTGCGCTTGAGCCTTCGGCGATCAGGAGGTCTCTGAGCAGAGCCTGGCGGATGTCAGCACAGACGTGTCCAACTTTGCCTCCAGCTCGAGCCCGGGCAGCTTTGCATAGAGGACCGCAACTTTCCCTCGCCTGCGCGCGTCCGCCAACTCTGATGCCAAGTGACAGTTTGGGTTGGTAGGATGAACGAAAAGGCTTCAGGTGCAGGGATTAAGTTTTGCCAGAAAGCACGCTGGCATCTTGACATCCATAAAGAGCAGATGCATATTTGCAGACGGGCGGCGCGGGCATTCATTTTTTGGCCAGGGTTTCGTCTCTGAGATTCGAACCCGGGACAGGTTCCACCGGTATGGACCAAGTCGCATGAAGACTTATCAATCGAGGACATATAGTCCGGCTATATTGGACTATTTCGGCGGAGTGGGAGCACCTGCCACTTAGACTTGTCCTCAAGTGCACGTGGGCTGTCAGAAGATGTATTTTTTTTAGAAGTGCAGTATCGAGCGTGCAGCTGCCGTGCGCTATTTGACATCTCCGACCATGCAGCTCCAACGTGGCTGCATGGGTCACGCCAATCGTTTTTGGATAGGCCGGCTGACCCACTTGACGTCGGTCAGCAACGGTTTTGCACCGTGAGGGCGGTCTTGCACGCTCGCCATCCTTGCACAGCACACTTCCGAAGCCTGGAACCAGTCTTGGTGCAATGAGACTCAAGCATATGTTCACCTGTTGCCTGCTATGGGTGTTCCGAATGCGCCGCGACTTCTTCCATGTTATTGTTTTTTTTGTGCTCTGCACCCCATTGGGGTGTTCGAAGGATTTGGCTTCCCATGGAGCTCTCAATGGGTTACTTGACTAGGGGGGGGGGTAGTGGCTGGTTTTCGTGGTGGTTTACGATGGAGGTCCGGGTGGTAGTAGTGGCGGTAGTGGTGGTAGTAGTACTAGTAGTCGTAGCAGCAGCAGCAGCAGCAGCATCAGTTCTTAGTAGAAGTAGTGTAGTAGTAGTAGTAGTAGTAGTAGCAGTAGTAGTAGCAGCAGTAGAGAGTAGTAGAGAGTAGTAGTAGGAGTAGTAGTAGTAGTAGTAGTAGTAGTAGTAGTAATATAGTAGTAGTAGTAGTAGTAGTAGTAGTAGACGACCATGTCGACGACGACGACTACGACGACGACGGCGACTACTGCTGCTGCTCCTCCTCCTCCTACTACTACTACTACTATAACCTACTACTACTACTACTACGACGACTACTACTATGACTACTACGACTACTACGACTACTACGACTACTACGACGACGACGACTACTGATACTACAGTAAGCTGTTAGCATGTCACAGCTCCGATGGGTCAAGTCTGCGAGTGGACCTCCGGTGCGCTTTT